CTTAAAATATAATAATAGATTATGAGGCTTGAGTTTACCTTCTTTCTCTTGGCACATGTTTCATAGACCATTCATATTGTAGAATGTTTCAACATCTCACTTTTTATGAATGGAAATTTTTCTCTCATATGGATATACAGTGTATGATATTTTGTTCATCCACTCATAACTTAAATAGCATAATCAAAGAGAGATTATATTCAATCCCCAGAGTGCTATGCTGGCCCCACTCCCGGGGTGCTGAGATGAGACTAAGATCGGGCATAGTGGTGCATACTGATCCCAGGGCTTCGGAGGCTGAAAACAGGAGTATTACTACAAGTCCAATCTGTGTAGGGAGACCCTGTAGACCCTGTACCAAAGTACATTTAAAAAAAAAAGAAACTATAATGAGTGCTAGCCAGGGTATACACAGATTGACCCTCAAATATTGCTAGTGACAACATAAAATATTGTACTTGATTTAGAGCAGAGCTTGTAAGCTGCTCAAAAGTTAATGATAGCATTTCTAACTGACCGAGGGGTCCATTCCTTACACTCAAAGTAACTGATAATATGTATCCACACTAAATGTTATACATGCAAAAAAAAAAAAAGTGTTAAAATTCCAATGTCCATTTGCTAATTGGCTTTCAGGATTTGATAATGTAAATACGAAAGGGGATGCTAATTTTATTTACTTTTCAGTTCTGGGAATTGAACCCAGATATTTATACTTACTGTGTGATCCCAATATGCTTCTTTTAAAAAGATAATTTTACGAAAGAAAGTCACATGAGATCAACCTATCATGGAATCATTAAAAAGGGTCTAGAATGAGGGAGAGCAAGACATTCTTGTACACTAAATTTTCTGACTGGGCCTTTAGTGAGGTAGGTGCACCTATTGTGATGCTGTGGCTTGTCTTATAATGTAATTATCTTCACAACATTTTAGCATTACCTAATATATACTATTTTCTTTTCAAAAGATTTTAGCTTCTATCTTAAAATGTGGGCAATATTTTTCTCTGTTTCAGAGGTTCCAGTGAAGAAATGTAAATGTCTTAGCAGTCGTTCCTATAATTATTATATTAGAAGCATATATTGTTATCATTTTTAATATAATCAAAGTAAGCTTTGTAGTTCAAACAAAGGACACACCAAAGGAAAATCCCAGTAAAGTATCTTTACATTGACAATATTGTCCTGCAATTCATAATGCTAAATCAATTCTTGAATTTCATGGTGTTTTCTGCATAGATGTTTTCTAAAGAGAATAAAATGTTATGCTGAAGTGAGGATGTCAGAAAGTTTCCCTGAGGCAAACAAAATTAAACTTTGGGACACTACCCAGTGTCCCAGCACTACCCTGGCCCTGGATGCTCTAACTATGCATAAGTTGAATGCTTATTAGGTCCTCTTTGAAGAGAACCTTTTGTCAACTTCGATGAGGTCAGTTATGAACAAGGACTTTTGAACATCTCTATTTTGGCAATGGTTATTGATTGGAAATTGTAAGAATTCTAGAGAAAGGTATATTGTTCTATAACACTTATAAACGTACAAATTAAAACATTCTGTAAAATAATGGAATCAAATGGAAGGTGAAATTAAAAGACACAATTTCTTTTTGCTTTTTTTATCAAATGTAGTTTGACTTAGTTTCCGGAAATGTCTTCCATGTAGCCTATGTAGAAAACACCTCTCTTAAGGGCCCGCAACATCTCTCAGTGGACTGAAGTGCCTGCTTAGGCATAGCGCAGCTGCTGAGACCCTATAGACCGTGTACTAAATACATAAAAGAAAACACCTCTCTTTTAAGATCAATGCATGAAACTAACCCATCATGAAAACATCACTGCAATACGCAAGTAAAACAGAGAGAAATGTAGAAGTCTATCATGAGGAAACATTGCTATAGTAACTAACATTTTTTAATATTTATAGACACAACATCAAAAGCCCAACTCATTCTACTCTACAGCAGGAAACAGTCAAAATTTACTTATCTTCTCAAGACAGATAAGGAAGTGTCTGTGGTTCTTACTTTACTTGTTTCTTAAATCTAGATCTGCTTTTCATAAAACAGTGCAGTGGATAATTTGCTTCCAAATTTCAGAAAGATATTTTATATTTTAATATTTTCAGGTAAAAACTTCAAATACTTTAGAAACATTTATTAAGTATATAACAATTACAAGAAGATACATATCAAATTCATAAAGTAACAGATATCAAATTCTTTGATGTTGAGTATCCCTGTGAAGGATGGAGAAACAAAGGAAAGATTTCTACTCTTTGGCTTTTGAAAAGAGCACAAATGTTTCCTAGTGGGAAGCTTACAGTGGTTGTTACCTTCCCAATCCATTTTCCACATTGTATTCAGCATGTTAGAGTTTTTATGAACATTTAAGTGTTAATAGCTTTCAATTTTCTTGAAAATAAAGCCAGAAATCTCTAATGTGGTCTCCAGGTACCCAGTAAGATCTTGTCTTAATTTTCTCTAAATCCTCAATTGCAGGTAACCCCTTTATCCACCACTCTGAGCTCCAGACATAACCGATGTCCTTTCCACTTCTGGACTCATCATACTATTTTCAATCTGCAAAGACTTTGCACATTTTCTACTTTATGCCTGAAATAGACTCCTCTACTCTCATCACTGCCACACGGTCAAGAAGATGAGGATCTAATTGAGGTATCAGCTTCAAGTACTACATACGGGAATTGTTTGACCTGGAGGGCCAGATGGGGTCCTCTTACTATATAATCATGTGTTGTCCTACACCTCTTCATAACACTCACAAAAATTATAAATAATGGTTTGTAAAGTGATTCAATATATATTCTATGGGGTTGGAAACTCCAAAAAAGAAAAACATCATAAGCTAAAGAAAGTTTACTGTAAGCTGCTAAAAGCCCACCTGCAATGCACTTACTTGTGTAGGTCACCGTAATGTCTGGGAAAACCATAGTGGAACCAGAGTGCAGTCATGTGTGCTTATAAAAATGGAGCAAGTAAATATTTTAACCAAAATCAGGTAAGACCTCGCCTCGGTAGCTCTTTGCTGTGACTTCTTATCTCCAATTCTTAGACAGTATATCACTTAAGTAACCAAAACCAGTCAGCAGTACAGGGGAGAGGAAGCTGTATTAGTGACACACGTAGGCATTGTTATGTAGAAGTGATTTATAGGGTCGGTGAGATAGCTCAGTAGAATAAGCACTTGCCTGGCAAGCACAAGGTCCTGAGTTTAATCCCTGGTACCACAAAAAAAAAAAGTGATTTATATAGATTTCTGGCAATTTTATAACAAGAATTATGAATCACAAACAAAAACAAATCATCAAATTTCCTTTAGTGATATTTTGACGTGATATTTTGGGTAATACCAGATTTTTATCTTTTAAGCAACTTTATTTTCTCATTTCAAATGAACATTAATTTTTTAAATTTCCACTTGGTGTTGTAGAAGTTTTTCAAAATTATATAATCCTTAATCTCTACAAAATACAGTTTTTCTCTGTCATCCTTTTCAGTGTTGCTTTTTCAAGCACAAATCATCATGCCTGTCAATGATAGACGTGCAATAAATAGTGAATGCAAAGCTAACGGCAGTTCTAATCCTTTCATCACAGAAATGTATTGTCATCCTTGATTTTTTTCAATCTGTGTCCTTAAGTTTCGAAGGATTTTTGTTTTCTGAAAGCAGACATATTTTAATCTTTATCTAGAGTGGTTGTGTTAAATTTTTCATTCATTTAATATTATAAAACACAGCTTGGCTTGGCATTTTCATATATGGAAAGTGTTTGTGTCATCATTTTTCATCTTAATTACTTTATTGATTCATTATTTTTACAAGTAAGTAGTTTTTATGATTCTTTTGGGAAAAGATAAAATAAGAACTTTATTTTAAACTGTATAATATTTGTTGTACTGCTGTTTTCAGTACTGGTTACTGATGGGGTAAAAACGAGGAAAGGGATCTGGGCAGATCTCTACAGCCATTCTTAGAAAAAAGCACAAATAGGAATTCTGCAGCATTAGTCAAAACAGTATCTTCACATATAATCACTCAACCTTTACTCCGCTTGGAAGAAGAGGTGTAGCCATTTGCTGCAATGAAATAACAATTTACAGAAAAATGATTGAGTAAGAAAATTCTCAAGTATTTAGTGTCTTCATTTTATAAACAAGAACATTCCTATGCAAGTGATTTACTGCTGAGCTAACAAGTACCAAAATTTGGATAAAAATCAGATTTTATCATTCAGTTTTGCTGTAAAGTATTCTGGTGATCCCAAGACTGCACAGCCAGAAGAAAGTTAGATTTTTGTTGTATATTTTGGATTCAGTTTATTCTCTATAATCTATGGTTGCTTTATTCCAGTTGCTTACAGTTAAAGACCAACTTTTACCCTTAAATAATCTTAGTGTTGTGCTATAAAGTATGTCTTAGAAAATCTCTGGCCCCACAGCAGTACTCCTTCTCAAGATAACAAATTTTTGGAAACATTTGAAGACAAGAATATAGAAACTTATGTTTCCTCTATGTTTAATGTATTTTATAATATTACCAATACGTACAACAAGAAAACATTTTTATCATAATATTATTTCTTTTTTGTGTGTGTGTGGCTGGCTTAGCCTACCCTAGAGGCAGGGCTAGCATGTCATATGGTGCCAGGGATTGAATTGCTGTCCCTGCACTTGCCTAAGCTTGCTTACGAAGGTGTTTCACACCACTGCGCTATCTCGTCGACCCCATAATATTATTCTTGTTGGCACATAACTTTTTTGAAAAGACTAAAGCAGCTGTGTTTGTGAGAACATTATTGGTAATCATTTCTTTTTTTGCGGGGGTGGGGGACAAATAGATAATGATACATCGCTCTTCAGGGAATGGTGACAGAGGCCTTTGGGAACTAAGAACACAACCATGCAGCACAGATCTGAACTAGTTTCTTACCACAACAACCCTGTACACTATAATCTTTTTCTTTCCAAAATGACCCTCATTTCATAGGAAAATAATTTCCACAAGGAAGCCAAAAATCTAGCTCTGTGGCCAAAAGGAAAAACAGCAATCCGTTGGTTGACTGGTAAGAGCAGAGAACCCAGAGCCGTTCACTGTGGTGTTTGGCCCTCTTGTTCTTGTTCTTCTTGTCCCTCTTCTTCAGCCTGTCCATGTTAGCCCTCAGCAGGTTGAAATACGCCATCTGGAACTTACTCACTTCTGTAGAGCTCCCCACAGTGCTGATCTTCTTTTCCCCATCTGTAGCTCTCAGAAGACATTTGCTACCTTCAGGTTGAACGCCCTCCACAGAGCCCTTCTTTGGGATGGATCTAGTGTGACCATCATATTTTTTCAGGGAGAGGAACACGCTGCCTGACGTCCTGCACTTCTGGAAAAGCCTGGTCAGCTCGGTCAGGAGCTGTTCACTCTCCAGCAGCATCTTGACGATACTGTAGTCATTTCAAAGTTAATAAAATCTCAGTTACCTACTTTGTGAGTACTGTTTGTTTTAATTAGAACTGGAAAAGAACACACAATCTCCAAAAATGGCATGGGAACAACCTATTAATAAGTGCCAGATTTTTGTAGAAGAGCATAATCAGGTATCCTTACCGTCATTATTATATATGCATCTGCAAAATATTAAGTGAAAATTTACGTGTTTTACCCTGAAAATTCCCTTCTCAAATGGTTGTGTTATTTTCTACGATCATTAAGAAAATGGGCATGGCTGAAGTGCTAGCTTTCATGAGGCGTATATGAAAATCTTCATCAAAGTCAGACAACATTCACGGAGGTTTGGTCAATAAAATCTTGTTTATCAAAGGCAAGGAAGAAAATGCAACATTGCCGCACTCCCGGTTACTGTGCTCCTAGATGCTTTTTTATTCCTCTTATTGATTATACAGAGAAAAAAAATAATTTAAAAATTTAGAAATGAAACAGAATTTCACAAAACAAGATGATAGGAATTCAGCAGTAGTTGTTATACTGCCTGTGTTGTCTTCAAAGTAGTTGATCAGATTAGCAGATAAAAGCTTATAAATCTGTGTAAAACTTAAGCATTTGCTGATTTTTAATCAACCAAATGAAATTAGTAGTACAATTATCTTTGCTATTCTGTGTATACATATTCTTTCCTTCCCTTTTTCTTTCTTTTATCCTTTTCCTCATCTCAGTTGTTCTTTCTTTTTAAGAAGCTTCTCTCCCTTTCAAAGTATCTATTGTACCTTTTGGATTTTATTTCCTCTTTCAGGGTCTCATGCCAGGGAAACAATATAATGTTTACACATGTGGGCCTGATTTATTTCACGTATGAATATACTCTCTGGTTGCACTCATATATCTATAAAAGCCTTGAGTTTATCCTTCTTTGTAGCTGAGTGATACTCCACCATGTACAAATAAACCTTTTTATCCATTCCTCAACTGATGAGTATTTGGATTGTTTCCAAAATGAGTTATGACAAATTGTAGTGCTGTAAACACAGGCTTACTTTCTTTTTAAAATGCTCACCTGAAAACTGAAGTTTACTGTAGTGAAAATCACTGCAGTCAGTTTTCCACTACATGTTTATTTCTATGACAACTTCAATGGATATGCCCCATATGAACCCTCCTCCCCACAAGCTGTTGCACATTCTAACTATAGAGGGATGATCTGGATTTCTTTCTTAGTGATTCCTTCCAGTACAGTCAAATGACAAAGATTTGAAGGGAAATCTCCAAAGTACTCATCTTGCGTCCCGCATATACTTAGGATGATAATAACAAATACTCAAATGAGATCTAGATCGACCCTGTGTTGATGTATGCACAAAGAAGAGTCACGGAGTGACCAAGGATCACAATTTCTGAACTGTAGGCAGTTCCACCCCTATAAAGGAGAGCCTCGTTTTACAAACTCAATTTGTTTTATGATTTGGGGAAAGATAGCTGTATTTATGCTTTTGTGGAAAAGATGACCACAATGATGTTTATCACCCAATGTAAACTTCATGAATGGAAGCAAAATTTGGACAAAAGCGTTTGGGAACTGAACTGTTTGGAAAAAAGAAGTATTCCTGAATGGAGGTATTACTGTATTCTCCAGATTACTGAGTTTACTGTATCTTGAAATTTCCTTGATTATAATAGTACTATTCTAGGGCCGGCGGTATAGCTCAGCGGACTAAGTGCTTGCTTAGGTAAGTGCAGGAGCCAGGGTTCAATACCTGGCTCTGCCTGCCGCGCCGGCCCCACCTTCGGGTGCGCTGAGCCGGCGATGGAGTCCGGGCGCGGTGGCGTGCGCCTGTAATCCCAGCACTTGGGAGGCAGAAATCAGGAGGATCACTGCTAATGTGGGCTATGTAGTGAGACCCTGAGGAAAAAAAAAAAAAAAAAAAAAAGAAAAGAAAAAGAAAATAGTACTATTCTACATGTTTGAATTTCATAGCAATTTGTAGAAATGCTTAATAAATTTAATGTGTTGCTAAAGATAGCAGTTCAGAAAACATGGTTTCTTTCTTTTTATATTTTTAATCTTTTTACGTATTCAGTACAGGGGTACGGATCCTCCCGTCTCAGCCTCCCAGCTCTGGGATTATAGATGTGCATGGCATGCACTACCAGGGATTGAACCAGGATCCTTGCACTTGCCAGGCAGGCTCTTAGACCACAGAGCTATTTCCCCAGCCCTTTTTCTGAAATCAGTGGCAGTCTCTTAAACAAACTAAATGATAATATAGAAACCTGGGTAAAAATGAAAGGTGAGAGATGGCTCTAACTTTACATAAAATAACTCTCAGTGCCGAACTGTGCATTTTAAACACCCGATCTTCTTTTTCAAAATGAGTAAAAGATCAACTGGCAATGGAAAACAACAGAAGTTTCTCTCAAGAAAACTATTTAGCATAATATGACATGGACACTGGGAAAATACAGGCAGCATGAGATTATTTCTTTCACATTTATATACATTTTACATTCTCAGATTGGCTGGCGTTCAACCAGGAAAACAACAGAGAAAACTGCAAAAGCAGGAGATGAAGAACAAATAATTTTCTTTTGTTTCTCAAAATGCGTGTTACTTCCACATCCTCAAGAGAGGGAACAAGAAAAGCTCTAGAGTCGTACTGTCTGGGAAAACAATTGCTATAAACGAGTTATACCAACATAAAACAGTGCTTGACATACTCTCCAACCCCAGCTGATGAAGTTAGCTCCTAGTAAGGAACAAAATAAGCAAAAATGCTCACACTAACCAGATGATACAAACAAACAAAATAAAAATTTATTTTTGACTTACAGAAGTAGTTCCTGCATGTTGATATTCCTTTAGGTTTTCCAATCCAGTAAATAATAAGCAGCTTCATAGCAATTACTGGATTCCAATATTTATAGAAAACTGACCACCATGAATACACAATTATTCTATTATGTCCACTCTAATGAATAGAAAAACTATTTATTCACTTACCATGACACAACACAAAAATCTTATTTTCTTCCTGGCCATGCAGAAATGAGTACAAATACTTGGTGAGGAATTATGTGGATAGAATTTGTATCTGTATGAGGCTAATATACAGAATTTTGAGGGATATATACAAAAATATATTATCTACTTCAGTAGTAGAAAGTATGCTTCAGATCAAAAACATCCTCCAAAAATCTCATGCATTCAGCAGCTCAGAATTTAAGAAGTGACTGAATTAAAGGTGTATACATTCATTAGTGGAATCCTCCGTTGCTGAGGTTAGAGCTTGGGAGGTCCGCCAAAGACATACAGTCATAGGTGGTGCTTGCCAGAGGCATTTGGACACAGGGTGTGTGAGGCTGGGATTAGTGGTGTGATGCTGAGTTTGAGTGCTGCCTGTCCTTCGAGCGGGTAGCCTGGATAGAATTGAGACAGAGAGGGAGCCGCCATGGTTGCTGCTTGTTGTTTGTGGCTTGCTGCCTTTGGTCTGCCCGCTCTGTGATATCCCTCTGCTGTGACACCCTGCCTTGGAGCCAGCTAAAAATGGACTGAAACTTCTACCAACTGTGAGCTGTAAAAACCTTTCCCCCTTCACATTCTGGGTGTCTGGCATTTTGTTTGAGCAATGAGCAAAGTAACTAAGAGGAGCTCAGATGTGAATGTGCTATTAAAGGCTGCGGCCGATTAGAGGAGGCGGGGCACTGGAAAAGGGGTGTGACCTGGAAAGGCATGCTCTCAGCCCCGGATCTTGCCTCCTTCACCTGCCTCCATGGGCTAAGCGTGCCTCTCTACTATGCCAAATCAGCTCTCTGTGCATGGACTGAACCTTCCAAGATCGGTATCCAAATTTAGCCTTTGTTCCTTCATGTTGCCGATACCAGGTACTTGGTCCCTGTGGTGGAGAAGTGACTGATACAAGACCCAAACAAACTGCATCTCCAGTACAAGGATTTCCTGACATATCTTGATGAAAATGAATATATTTGTTATTCTCACAAGCTTTCCTTTAAAGATTCTGAGTGTGATAATGTCTACTAATTACTTTATAAGGGTAATTACATATCTGGTTGGTCATTTTTCATTCTGCATAGAGCGCCAGCCACTGAAGGCAATAGTCCCACCTCATCGGTGGTTTCGGCCTCTACCATTTCTGTTACCTTGAGTCAGCACCAATTCAGAAGAACTCAGCAGAGACTGCAGGAATAAGTTAAATTGCATGCTGTTCGGAGTGGTGTGATGAGACCTCACGGCTCCTGCTCCCTTCCTGTCTCTCCTGTCACTGACACCGCCCCTTATCTAGCGTCTCCACACTGCGCACACCCCACACCCACAGCCATCAGCATGTAACCATCTTGGCTTAGCTTACTCACGGCCCAGCAGTGTGAAAGCAATCACACTGGCAATTTGGATAAGTGGAAGAGAAAGAGTAAGCAATGTCCTTTAAGTGAAAAGGAAAGAGTTCTAGAATTTGTAAGAAACAATTCACAGGCTGGGATTGCAGAAATCTCTAATACAAACACATTTTCTCTCCATGAAATTGGAAAAGAAGGAAACAAAACCAGTTCATGCTACTTCTGCTGCTGCACCTAATGCAGCCAAAGTTACAGGCACAGCACATAATAACTACCGAGTAAAGATGGAGAGGGTCTTGGTACAGAACATGCCCCTATTAAGGGCAACACGCACAAAACATTGTCACATAAAAATATCAGGAAGAAATCCTTTACAATGAGTGACACCACTCCATTTACAGCAAATACAAAATTTGTACACAGGTTGAGAAACGGGCTTTAAATAAAGAACATAAAAATTATTGAAGAAGCTGTTTCTACCTATGAAGATACTACTTCTGCACTGCAGGCAGAGTTGTGGAAGAAAATTATTATCCAGGCAGTACGTCCGGAGCTGATTTTTGCTTCAACAGAGTTTGGACGGAACAGACCTGGGACTCCCTCTCATCTTTCCATCCACCTTCCAAGGAC